GGAGAGGGACTTTGTATGTGGCTGGCTAGGACATATGATGATCACATCTGACCAATTATGGATCGTTAGGAAGGTACCCACACTATAAGGTTAGCGAATCTAAAGCTAATTGCACAGAGATACATCAATAGAAAATTGCCTGCATCCTGTAGATTTTTCGCAACAGCTGCTTAAATATTTATTCTGCTAGTATAAAAATAAGGGATCTTCTATTGCTGACTTGTTTTTTAAAGGTTCAAGCACCAGTGCTGTCATTGTTATTAGGGGTGCACCAATGCAGATACTTGGCATTTTCATGAGAACTACCAGGGTTGCAGCGGTTGCAGCTAGGACCTGGCTCTGGCGCTCCACCACTGTCCTGAAATCATTAGTCTGTATTGTTTTAGAAAAACTGTCACATGACAATAAACAAAAATGTATCAGTACTTGTACTTGCAAAAATTGTATCGGTGCATCCCTTTATTTATATTTATAAAAACAAAATGATACATTAAAACAGATGGACAAATCCCAGGAGCTCCATGTGCTCCTTACAAATGACAGCCGCCTCCTAACTTCTGAATTTTTCTCTGGTCTAGTCTTGGAGCTGGAAAAGTATCTGTACTTGTACGGAGTACGGTACTTGGTATCGGTGCATCCCTAGTTGTTATCCTTGCTTCACTAATTAAAGGGATACTGACCCAGACCCAGCATGTGGAAATCAAGAGCCCTGAGTGATATAGACGGACGTAGACTTAGGAGATCGCACAATCATATTGTACCATGCACGGTCAGCTAAACCAACAATTGTTTTTTATTTCTGCATGTTTAATCACGCTTTGGATTCCCAGAGACTCTATGGGTAAGATATGACCACCAAAACTGGGCAATCCTAGAGTGACACATACATTGCATCTTTGGCCCATTCCAAGGATATACACTCTTATTAGAAAAACTTAACATAAGTTATTCTGAGGGACAGTAGAAGTTGAGTGGCAATTCAAAAAAAAAAAATGTTACTATTGGCTGGAGCTGGCACATGAATGACAAGGTCTACCCACTTCTAGCTGCTGCTGATGACCAGGGACAAGTCATTTGGACTGATACATGCCTTCAAGTGAATACTAATTCTTTGATTCACCTGCAGGGCCCTCTGTAGACTGGATAAGTGTACCATCTCATATACTTTATGGGACATGTGAGAAAGCCATTCCGACTTAAAATGGAACTCCAGGATGCTTACATTGGTCCAGCTTGGCTCGATGTAAGTATCCATATCTGATCTCCGGAGTAGGCAATACTACATAAAACGATAGCCATGATCTTCCAGCTGCTGCTCCAGTGGCTTCTCCTCTGTACACAGGACAGGAAGTCGATTGTTCTGCCTGCAGCCATTAAAACAATGTCTTGTATTTTGTTCAATAAATGAAGGCGTTCTCTGATTGGACGGGGTGGATGATGTCACAATCTCCACCTCATCCAATCAGAGAACACCTTGTATTCATTGAACAAAATACAAGGCATTCTCTGAATGGCGGCGTTGCCGAGCAAGTGACATCCTGTCCTTAGTGACAACAGCACAACATGCCTGCGCAAAGAGCATTGGTATGTCTACTCATCATTTCCACCAGAAACATATGTGACAAGTTGACAGCACAGGAGAACAGTTGGTAGACAGGGACTGAGCGTTGTCACTCTACAACAGAAAGTACCTGAACAAAGACACAGCAGGCACTCTTTTTAATGAAGGCTGGATTGAAAATGACTTTTGAAATGGCATTAACACATCAAAAGATTATACGAGACTTTAGTGATTGGGTTTGCATCTAATGTTTCATGTCTCGGTGCAGGCTGGGGGAAGTCAATGGGTACCAGCAGTGATGTGTATTCCAATGAATGATCTAAAGTCAATATTGTATCCTCTCAGCAGTGTCACTTAGATGCAGGCATTGTTCAAACACCAGCATCCTCCAGCTCACACAGATAAAGAGACTGACCCACAGCTGATTCAAAGAGAAGGTGTCAAAGGAACAAACACTGGGCGACAAAACATACACACACAATGAATGGGCTGCTTTTGATCTCTACATACTGGATCACACGGAGATGATAGAAGCCCAACACAGGGCATCATGTTCCTCCTTTTGTGAGCACAGATCTGGCCGTGTACAACTGTTACTCATCACCTATGTGGGAATTCAGATGTTTCTTTGTGCGGCGCACTTATTCCTACTTGCACATGTTGGCCTAATTGTTTTTAAAGTATATCTATTTGCTTTGGTAAGGCAGGGCAGTAAAATAATAATGTTAGTAAATAGGAAGGATTATTTATTTTCTTTATTTGTAGCTAGTAGAGTCTCCTGAAGTATCTGCTGCGCTCAGTAGGAAAAGCGCACACTTTTTTTATTGCCATGTAGACTGTTGTGGACACACCATCGTTGCAACAAGCAATCTGAGCCTTTATAGGTACTTCAAAGGCCTGTACACGCAAAACAAGACAAACAAAAATGACAACCATTTGGAAATTGATGTTCAACTTCCAATAAGGGAAGATGAAGATCAGTTTTGATTTTTTTACTCATATCACTATAAATGCATAAAGAGGTACTTCAGTCAAAAAAAAAATGCAATTTGCATTTTTAACCCAAATTTTTGTGCAATTTTAACAAAGCTTTTCTTTTGGTCACACACTATGTAAAACAATCGAGAAACATTCAGGATAGGGAATTTACATATACACATTTTATGCATTTGTGTGCAGTGACAATTTATTTCATTGGCTTCCTATAAAGACTATCTCCAAGAAAAAACTATACTTGCAGTGGGGCTCCTCCAGCACTGCAAGGGTTATCTGCTTGTTAATGTCTTGGGGACCTAAAGGGCGCTGGCTCCAAGACTGGCACCCACAGCCTCTTCCTCCCTACGTTCCGGTGGTCATAGTCCCATAGCCCTGCATTATATTTGAGGACAATGAGGGACAGTCCACAAGCCAGAGTGTAGTGGGAGACTAGGAAAGTGCTGGGGTAGAGGGGATCAGGTAAGAAAAGTCTTTACACCTAGACATATATAAGCAGATAACCGCTGTAGTACAGGGGTAGCACCACTTCAAGGACAGTTAATTCCTCCCCCCAACGAGATACCCTTTAAGGGCCTGTTCACACCATGTCCAGACCAGAACAGTTGGTTCCCGCACCAAAAAAGCACCCCAATGTATCCCTATGGTATTTCTGGGCTATGTTCCCATCGGACAAACAAAAATACTGCTTGTCTCATTTTCTCTGGTCTGGAATGCACTGGAATGCATAAACATGCATGCAAAAGCACTGGAACGCAACTGTAAGCAATAAAAACGCGGCAAAACGCAATGCACTGTGTTTCAGATCTGGTCCGGAAAATGGTGTGAACCTGGCCTAATACATGTAAACAGAAAAATGCAGCGGTTACTATTTTAAAAAAATGCACCCAACAGCAGCGCAAAGGTGAGAACTAGCTCTGTCGGAATGAATAACATTTTTGCTGGACGCGTAAAATGGACGCGTTTTGCCGCAGCAAAACAGACAATTGGCGATTGAAGGTGAAATAAAAGAAATCAGAACAGGTTTTCTAATCTGCCCCATTGCACTGTGTGTGGGGCCGCTGAATTGCCGCTCATTCTCGCTATAGCTTTAAATAATATTGCATCTGTAGGTTTCTGATGTATGAATGGCCCCTTAGCAGACAACCGCAACCTACCAACCGCATATGAAAAATCAAACATTTTACATGGACTTGGTCATTTAAAAGTTATATCCCTGTATGTTGAAGCTGCGTGATGCCAGCTGGCATAGCCTAAATGGGTGCATCAGGAAAAAAAACGATTCATGAAAGCGAAAGGAAGTGCAGACCTTTTGTGAATTGCTTATTTAGGCCTCATTCACACACAACGCAAGAGCAAAATTGTATATTGCGTATATACGCGCATATATGCGCGTATGTATACTGCGTATGTGTGTATATGCATGCACTATATGCAATCCCAGAATGCATCATTCATAATAGAAATTTTAATGAACTGTACACGCGTATATACGCAGAAATACGCTGCCTGGACGCGTCTTGGTTCCATTATGTTTTTGTGCATTTTTACGCTGCGCAAATATAGGGCTCCATACGCAGTTATGTGTATGGAGCCATTTATTTGCATATGCTGCATATGGTACAATATGCGCGTATAAGCGCGGCACTGTGAATGAGGCCTAATATTTATTAATAGTTGTCTATCCGCTAATAAAATCGAATGATTCTATTTGTCCCTGGATCTTCTTGGGTCTAACAATTGTTACAACTTCCAGAACAAGTTTAGGCAAGTCTGGAAATGTAAAATGTCAATTTTTGCCTTTGTGTATTTTTTTTTAATTGTAACAATTCTTGGGAATGCAAATTTGCCTTTTAATGTTGAGGTTTTGTTTTTTTTAGCTATTTTATGTAGTTCTTGATTAAATAATATACAGATGTGTAGTCAAGTGTGCAAGAATGTATATATGCCTATAACAGGCTCCCCTGATAGCACTTCACTGCCGTAGATGGGGGGGGCAGCGGCATTTTTTTGGCAACAAATATCCTTTTATTCAGCCAAATAAAACCACATCAGTGAATTAACTGTTTGACTGCCAGCACTGACCCAACCGCAAACATGGTCTGAGTGAGCCAGAGAAAAAGACAAAAACATTTAATCAAGTTTTAAAACACTAACTGGACAAAACAACAATATTTGCAGCACATATTCTTCTTAGGAGGAAATGTTACGCAGACAATTCAATCAGATTTCTACAAGTAATGTTTGTCAGTCGAATGTAAATAGTATGCGAGTTCACAGGTCCAAGGACTTTAGCCCTTTGTTTAATGAAGGATAATCAGGCTTAAGGATATGCCTAAATGTATGTGTCAGGCATGCTGGGACTTGTAGTTCAACAGCAACTAAAAAGCTAGCGTCTCCTTAAGCCTGGTCTACAAGGCTGCCCATTACAGCTCCTCCTTCTTACCTGGATCATGGAAGGGGACCAGAACATAGCTGCTGATGGCTTTTGTCCTTCGGGTCAAGGTGCGCTCTAAGATGCGGTTGGCGCCTTCAATCACCTGTCTGAGGTCATCGTACATAGAGCCGGTGACGTCAAACACGAAAGCTAGGGATGGGGCCCCAATATCCTGGGGGTCGCTGCAGCCCACCTGGGCCAGCAGAAGTGGAAGCAGTAAAAGGCTCAGGTTCCCTGTAGCCATTCCCAAAAAAATAAAAGTGATGCCCCAATGTGGTGGGGAGGAAGAGGGCTTTCTCCGCAGACTGCTGTCCTTATCTGTACTCAGGATGAGGTATTAGTGAGGCTGGAGTGTACATGTCCCTGTGTTCCTGCCTGTCCAATGCTTCCACTGGCAGCCTCAGCTAAAGGCTTTATAGGAGAAACCTGCCCCCACTCCTTCTCACAAACTTTTGGGAGGAGAAGGCTCTGCCCCTCACAGCAAACAAAGAGAGCCCTCCCTGCCTCCTGCACAGCACTAGCCCAGGATAAGCCAAGTCTCTGGATACCTGAGAGGGAGGAAAGGGAAGGAGGGAAGGGGGGCTCCCCATCCGAATAGAGCATCCCTCCCTGTGAGCTGCCAGTCTGCTCACCTTCTTTTTCATTGTATCCCGTTCCTGAACAGCTCACAGCAGATTATCCAATAAGGCAGCTCAAAGACTATCGATGATGTGCAAAGCCCCATCACCCTCAGCCATGAACTGGAAACATCCCAGCTGGCCATACACATTACAATCCGAATGTACAGTCTACTAAGTTTAGGGTGAAATGAACTGAAAATATTGTATGGTGGCAATAAACAGAGCAGTCCTGCCCCAATCTGACAGCACAATGAGAAAGTTGGGCAAGGACTGGGACATTTCCCATGGGGGAGATAAAAAGCACTTCTGTAATCACAATTGCTTAAAGTTCAAGAAGAATTTACCAGCTTGTCAACTTAAAGGGTTATTAAACCCTCACGTTTTTTGCATATATCTACTGATAGCAAGCAGGACACATATGCAAACACTTTAAAAAAAAAAAAAACACCTTTTGAAAGAGGTTTAAACTTACCCGTGTTTCCGCCGCACGCTCCCGTCCGAACATCTGAAAATTTGTCCGACCGTAAAGGATCTTGGGGCGGGCGCATGCACAGTTCAGATGTTCGGCCCGGGAGACGAGGAGAGACTCAAGGTAAGCCTATGGAGCAGCGTGCACCCACACAGACTTCATAAGACAGAAGAGGAGGACAGAGGAGTCAGCGCTGGATCGGAGACCCGCACCAGCGCTGGAGGGACAGCTGAAAACGGCTGGAAAGAAGAAGATGATCGGATTAAGAATTAAGAGACATCATTTAAGGTAAGTCCTTACACTAACATTGAACTTAAAGCTTCATTCACACTTGCCACTTGCGTTTTTATGCAGATATGTCTGCAAAATCTGTCGGGCCAGATGCTTTGTTTATGCTTCTAGATGCTTAAAATGATGAGCGTTTACACGCATATGTGTTTAGATGCATCTGTCTTTTGTCCATTGAAGTAGCCAATGAGATTTGTGCACATAAATTTGTCTTGCGTTTACATGTGTTTTGGTGCATTTAGAAGTTCAAATCAATTCCTGGACGCACCTGACTTCTATTCTTTCTAAACACAGCTAAACTGACTGCAGATAAAAGCATTTAAACGCAAGGTGTGAACAGATCCATTGGAAAGCATTAGATGCATATCAGGGGCGTAACTAGAAATCACAGGGCCCCATAGCAAAATTTTGTATGGGGCCCTGTGATTTCTAGTTACACCCCTTGAAGAGCCCACATAGCTCACCTGAGGGTGAAACTGCAGAGCCCACCATAGATTCTCTATGGTAGGCTCTGCAGGGTCACCCTCAGGGGGCTGGTCACACTCCTTACCTGTCCGCCTCTTCTTCCTCCGTCTTCCCTCCTCCGTCGCCGGGGCCGCCTCCTCCTCCATCACCAGCCCTGCCTCCTCTGATGCTGACCCCCGGGCCCCGCCTCCTCCTCCCCGCCACGTCCAGCCTCCTCCACCGCCGCTGCTGACTCATTGACTCAGCAGCGGCTATGGAGAAGAACGCAGGGCTGCACAGATCACGGTGATCTGAACAGCGGCGCGTTCCAACCCATAGCGACCCAGGCGGCACGCACGGCATCAGTGGGGTGTCCTGGCCGGGCCCCCCTGTGCTCGGGCCCCATAGCGGCCGTCTGGGTCGCTATGGCTATTGTTACGCCACTGATGCATATATATGCTTTTGGAAAACAATTTTAAGCGCAATTAACACATCAAATCGCACCAAGGGTGAATGTAGCCTTATGCCTCTGCCTTACCCAGGTCCTCCACCGTGCTGCAGCTTCGACCCTCTGGTAATCATAGGCAGCCTGGAGGCATGTATATCTGAGCCGTGGGTGGTCCCATCGTCACCCCTCTATTTGACAAAAGTAAATTTTTCAATTGACTTTTGTTGAAGGAGCCGGGCTGAAAATGGTCAATCATCTGCAGTCACTGTTTGGGTATCCTAATAGCTGTAGGGGCTGGCTGTCAGAATACAATAGCCAGCAGGGGAATCCTCCATCCATGCTGTATACCGTGGATTGGGAAAGCAAGCATTTCTTCCCATTCAGCCTCCCCTCTACCCGCTGACACACGTGATGCCAGTCCTGGGCCCGCAGAAGGGGCAGCGGAGCGTGGGAAGCAAGGCAGGGCTGTCGGGTTGGGGGGCACGCTTTATCAGCCCCAGGAAGTGATCTGGCAGCAGCTCAGCCACCAGAATCGCTTCCAGTGTAAAGTTCACCATCAGCTTTACACAGCTGAACTGTTTAGAGGGGCCCGCTGCCAGTTAAAAGTGTGAATTCCCTAAGTACAGGTCCTTCCCACCTTGCACGTCACAGACCTATCCTCTTCTGGAAGTATCTAATTACTATCTGTGCTGATCCAGCTCCTCCGCCCCCCACTTCATCTCACTACATAACTTTTATGTATAAGCTGGGGGAGGAGTGACGGGGAATACTATAGATCAGAAGTAGACGACCTTGGCACTCCAGCTGTGGTGGAACTACAAGTCCTATGAGGCATTGCAAGACTGACAGCCATGACTGTCACAGGCAGATGCATGATGGGCTTGGTAGTTTCACCACAGCTGGAGTGCCAAGGTTGCCTACCCCGGCTAGAGATTGTCATTGGAGTAAAGCTCTTAGTTTGCTGACCTCACATCCAAAATGGTGGCACCCAGCAGCAGTCTCAGGGCTTATATATGTCTAAACCAGGGAGGATTTTACAGGTAAATACCATGCATACAATGTTGGTTATGTGTTAAAGCTTTGTGATTGCAAACTTGATATCTGAACAGCTTGCCATCTTTCAGTAGCTTGGATGGGCCCATAACCTGTTGATTATGTGTTTAGATCTTGAGGAATGCTGAATTCAGTTTTACTTACTTAGGAGAACATTACATTAGAATACAGCATTGTGCAGGAAACATATAGATAGGTATAACTTCCTGTGTATCATAGATAAGCATGCATATACAGACTAACATTGCACTACAGCGCCATCTACAGCTCAAAAGACATTAGTACACATCAGCATATGCTGCTGTATTTCCAACATAAAATTAGTTAAAAGCTCATAGAATATTATGGGAAGATAGTTGTTAAAATGAACGGTGTGGTGAGAGGAGCTCTTTCAGCTTCAATACCTTCTGTGGTCACTGGCTCAGGACAAGAGCAGAGATAAGGAATTGTGACTTTTCACTGAATTTCATTTCATACATGCTCTTTCTAGGTGTGTGACGCCAGACAGTCAGGCAACTAGCATTTTCAGAAGTAGACCAACAAAGGCCTTATTGAGCCACATCTAAAAACAAAAACATTAACTCTCATTGGTTTCAAACCTCTTGGACTTCCTGTTTTCACCCATGTACTGACATCTACAACCATCCTCAATATCAAGGACTGTATATTATCTTTATATATGATAGCCTTGAAATAAAAAGAGTAGAGCAACCATTTTTAGGTCAGGTCACGTACGAGGCAACATCAACCACTTTTAACCACACAGACCAGGACAACCCGCCATTAGCATTTTACTGACAGGAGATCACATTCATCTGTTAGGTCATTTCTGAAATTGAAAGGTGGTTGAATCATACACGTGGCAATTTTTATCCAGCGAACTTACAGGATTAGTAAATATCATCCGAATACAAAAGTCATGAGTATTCTTATTGAATCTTGGAGGGTAGGGATGCAGCGATACCAGTTTTTCGGTATCGAGTACGAGTACTGATACTTATACCAGGAAGGCTTCTTGATTGCCCGGGAAGCCGACTCCATTCTGTTTGGCCGGCTGGATGCTGATTGGCCGTGAAGCCAGCTTCCCAGCCAATCGACATTGAGGCCAGCCAAACAGATCTGACTATACGGTGACACGACCCTGCATGCACCTACTTCCCCTCACATAGATCCTTAGCATTCTTTAACGTACCAGACCCTGGGCCAGCTGGGCAGACACCGCTCTCCCGAATCTGCCCACATCTCCAGTGTGTACAGCGCCCACGTGATTGGCCCTCAACCTGCTACTGCGCATGCGCAGACTGCCAAGCGCTCTCATTCAGAAAGCCTGTGCATGCGCAGTAGCAGGCTGAGCGCCGATCACGTGAGCACTGTGCACACAGGAGACGGCAGATCTGGCCGAGGGACTGGTACGTTAAAGAATGATAAGGATCTATGTGAGGGGAATTAGGTGCCTGCAGAGTGGGGGTGGTGTCGCTATATTATCAGATTTGTTTGCTCGGCTGGACACTGATCGGTTGGGAAGCCGGCTTCCCGACCAATCAGCATTGAGTCGGCCAAACCGCATGGAGCCAGCTTCCCGGCTCCATCTTTCTTCGCGGCACTGCCGTTCAGAGGAAATCTCCCCCTGACCTCTCCCTGTTCTAGTATCGGGAAAGGTATCGGAAGATTTGGGTGAGTATGAGTACTCGCTCCCAAATACTCGCTATCAGCACCTATAGCAATACTAGTATTGGTATCGGTGCATCCCTATTGGAGGGCTTTGTGTATCTCTTCCAGATCGGTGCACAGTAATCCAGTGTGAAGCTTTGCCTATGCGTAGGAGCTTCCTGTAATAAATACCAATCACTGCTTGTCTCTCTCCTTGTGGAGGCACACAAGGAGAGAGACATCAGGATGGGCCGGTCCAGCGGCACACAGCG